GTCAGTGAAGGGGGAGGCCTTTATTTGGCGGCTGTTTGGGGAGTCCTTCTCCTTGGCAAAATGTCAGCCTTGCTACCTGGGCACCTGCTTCTGACGCAGAAACGGGCAGAAACGGACAGCGGAGGAGGAGGAGGAGGAGGAGGAGGAGGAGGCAAGAATTAGACAGCTTCAACTCCCCTCCCCCGCCAAAATCATATAAGCTGGGAGTAAAGGGCCTTTAAGAGCCTCCATGTGCTGTAGTGGGTCATGCCATTTCACCCAAAAGCCCTGGTTTGCTCCTCTGGGTGGGCAGAGTGCAGGGAGTTTTAATCCAACACTGCACTCTGAAAAGCCTGACTGTAGGATCCTTAGATTTGAAAAACAGGATTTGTTGCACTCCTAGTTTGCTTTCTTTAAGATATCTGTGCCGTACCTCTACAATGTGTCTGTTATGCATGAAACGGCTGCAAACACAGTTGTGTACTTTATCATAGGAAGTAAATGATTGGACTGGGTTTTGGGAGGGAGAAAGGAGAATCAAAGGAGCATTTTAGAGCTCAGAGGTGTGATGGAAAGAGATGAGGAAGTATTTTCTTGTGCCAGTATTACATCTGGAGGCTAGCTAGACTTTGAAGTCACAGTCTCAGAGGAGAATTTCTATTCATTGTCTACATCTTGTCTTGTTTAATTTGGATGGAGTGGCAGTTATTGCCAATTATACTGTCATTAAGATTGCACTTTGGGGTACATGCTTGGATTTTGTGTATACACAGTAGTCCCAGTCCCATACATGCTAATAAAATTTTTATGGGCAATTTGGGAGTAAAGAATGAAAAAGTACTGGTTCAAGGGATCAGCTTTCTCCACTCTTTTTTTTCTCCTTAATACATATTTGCATGTGTGGTGGTAGTGAAGCTAATGATATGAAGTAAAAAACCCATGTGACTTGTGACCATCCTTCAAGGTCTGTATAAGATAATGGTTTATAATGGTTGTTAATATGCTTTGGCAGAATAGTTAAGGTTGTTTGCTGTCCGCAGCTCCAAGTGCTGAAATGGCCTCATTGGGAAGAATAAGAAACAGTAGTCTCCTCCTGCCAATATCCGGGAGTTTAGAGATTATCATTTTGATGAGCTAGCTGTGGATATAATGAATGATGATAAATATTCAAGTGTGCTTAGTTCTTGAGATAATCATATACATTACTGAAAAGTATGTAAGTGCCTCCTCTCAACAACATTTGTAAAGACAATTTAGCAAAGGAATTGTGCAGCTATAAACTTCTTCTGTTTGCTTAAACACCCAGGAAAAGCTATTCATGCCCTTTCCCTCATTTTCACTTTGGATGTAAATGTTCATTTCAGAAAACTGAATTCTAGACTGTAATTTAAGTGGAACTTTTAAAGAGAGCCAGAAGATGACATTCTCAACCAAATCATAGGAAAGAGTATCCTGAAAGTAATGCATATTCTTTGCATGTTAAAAACTGGTTTTGTGTTGGCATTATGAGATCATTCTACTTCTTTCAGTATGAGGGATGCTCTTTTGTCATCTATTTTCAACTTCAGGAGGAGAACGTCAAGCAGAAATTGTGCTCCAGTACTGGGGGGAAAAAAGGGTTTTTGCTCAAGATAGAGAGAGACATTTAGTGGTGCCTTGGAAAGAGCCACTGCTTAAAGATAGGAAGGTTTTGGTTCCATACATCAACATAAGCTAATGTTGCTCTGCAATTGAAATAGATCTGCATGAATCTAGTAATATATGTGTTGATTGGACAATAGACCATAGTCAGAACTAAAAACTCATTTCCCTTCCCCCTATATTCTGCCAGGAGCCTGCTGAGCTCGTAGATGCTTTTATTTCCATTTTTTCTCATTTAATGCAATCTCTCACAAAGGATTTCACATCTGCATGCTCTCTGTCTCTCCTTTTTTTAAGAGCATGTGGTATTACTGTGATATGTCAATATCTGCATACAAGGAAAGAAAGGAAGCCAGCATCCTTTCTGTATAATTCTTAGATTTCCCATCAGTCAGCAAAGTAGGGGGGGAAGTCTGGTCCGCATCTCCCGCCCAATTACTTCTATGGAATCCTGAGCCTCAAATTCTTGTGAATCCTTGCCAGTTCATTTGCCACTATAACCTACCATCCACAACCCAGTTTTGTCTTACTGGTATGAGCAATCAGTTGCTCATGCCAGGGAATGTTTGTCAAATAATTTAATGCAATCTTGAGAATTGTTCTTGAAAACCAGATAGTAATGGAAATGGAGAACCACCAGAGCAGTGTGGCTAAGAAAGCAGGCATCTATTTATTAATTAAACTTTAATATCACCCTTTAAAATCATCCCCAGGTGAAATCTAGTCACTTGCTTGCTTGCAAAGATACTAAGTTCCAGCTTAATTTACTTTTTTGCTTCTTCATATGTTGCCAATTTTATTTCTCCTTTATGCTTAATTTTGTTCTTTCCTAGTCCATGACGCTTCCCTCTGCCCCTTAAGCTGCCTGATTATTATGATTTTTTTCTTGTTTTTCCTTCACACTTTGGAATCCCTAATTATTCATTAGACGTGAGATCCGTTTTTATGCCCATGTAGGAAGCACCATTTTTCATCAAGCAGAAAAGCAAAATCACATATGTTTAAAGATGTAGAGTAATTGAAAGTGGCTCTAGCATCAGGTGTTGGTTTTTTAATTCTACATAATTTGATTGGTGGGTATTATTTTGTTCAAAGTCATGTAGCATCCTTTCAGATACACAGTCATCATTTACATCTGAAGATGGAAATTGATTATAATGTCTTGGGAACTGGAGTGGGGGAGTCTCTTCATTGTATAATTTAGATTTTCATCCACCCAAAGAGACATTCCTTACAATGAAACTTTCTCCCTTCCTTCCTTGTCTTTTGTTGTTTTCATATCATCAATATTTAGAGTGTAAGCTGCTTAGAGGAGGTGTGTCTGTGTACATACACATATGTGCAAATGTTCCTCTGTAAAGAGCAGCACACATTTATGGTTTATAAATATAAACTGAAGCAGTAATAGTTAAGGATAGAATATGCTTTGTGATGGATAATAATACTGATTTACTGTATTGTATGGAATTAAACTAAGCAAATCATGCCCAATTCAAGGAACAAAAGCAGTATACAAATATTAGATGTTGTTGCTATTGTTGCTGCTGTTGTTGCTATTACTATAATTAGAAATTAATCAGTGCTCATTAGGTATGGCCACATTTTAATGAAATGTGAAGGTAATGTGTAAGAGATACCTAATGCATAATGAAATTACATTAAGTGGCTGCCAGATTAAATAGCTCAGATACACTGAGTATGAGATACAAAACTATAGAATTGTAGATTTAGGAAGGGCCAATTCCTGCTTGGTACAGGAATCCAAGTTAAAATATTTCTGACTGATGGTGATGTAGGTGTTTGCAATGTCTCTGTTTTGTAATGTTAAGAGACTGAGATAAGTTATTTGAAAGAAAAACTGAAAGTGGAACACTTGGTTTTAAACGGTTTTGTGTGAGGGTATACTGATGAGATTTTGTCATTAATATCATATGGAAACTGGCACATTTCATGAGTAGAACTCAGCCTCAGAAGGATAAGAGAAGAAGCAAAGTCCTGTTTGAAATCTGTGAAAGTTTAGTGGTACTGTTGCTGAAACAGATTGCTTCTGCTCAGAAGACTGCTAGCTCCTACCATTCAGTGTCACAGGATTTTGATTTTCCTCTTTTCTCACCTGTTTTTCTGAATTAGATCCAACACATGGGGTAATGAGAAGTGATAATACCTGTCACTCCCTTTATTGTGCTACCTTTTCTAAGCCTTTGAGCAAAAGAACATTTGCTTTTGCTGCAGCACAGCTATCCCTCTGGGAAATGTTATTTTAATAACTTTCAATGTATCACATTATCTTGCTTCATTCTGCACTTTTGCACAATTGCATCCAAGAAAAGTGCCACTTTTGCCCTCTCTAATAACACTATAAAAATAAAGAATGTCTATGAAAATATTATCTTTGATCCTATAAATATTTTGCCGTATTTATATATATTCCATATATTATGAGAATAAATGACTGCAATAATAGGCAAGTATACTCTACTTTTGCTGTCTAGCAAGTGAATGGCATTTGAGAGATTGTGTTTGAGGCAATATTCATTGATATTGATTTATGATATTAATGATGTGAGCCAGGCAGAATATAAATTTAATAGATTATTATTATTATTATTATTATTATTATTATTATTATTAGTGTATGGTAGCCATGACAATGGCATTGACATCAAATTATAAATATGCATTTCTAAATCTGCCTTTTATTATTGTGATTGCTATCTGAATTAACATTTACAATTGATATTTTGTACTAGTCATTCTGTCGTTTTATTCTGTCATTTATAGTGATTTCTATAGTTGAGGAAAAATGTCTTAATTTGTTGGATTATGTACTATAAGAAAGCATGAAACTTTCTCTCTGGAACAGTTTCCCCCACAGGCAAGAGTGGCCCATTTCCTCTCAAAAGTTAGTCAAGATCTAGTTATTTCAGAATCTAGAATATGTTGTCCTGAGTGAGATGCACTGCCATGAATGTTGTATCTTAGGATGAGATAATTGTAATAGGATATATACATTTTGTTATTTTTCACTGTTTTATTTTTTATTATGTATATTTGTTAAATTGTAAACTACTTAGAGTTGGTTAAAACTGTATAAAAGTCTAATAAATAATAGAAAGGTAATGTATAATGAATTGAGTAATTCATCTCATCACTCTAGCCTAGTC